GTATGGCACCATCCCGTGCCGGTGCCACAGTGGGCTCCCCCCCAGGAGCCATGGGGGGACTCACGTGGGAGCAGAACCCCTGCCATCACCCATGGGGGCAGAACAGGCAGGGCCGTGGGTGGCAGATCCGTGGCAGTCCCGGGGGGACCAGGGGTCCCTGGTGGGATGTGGAAAGGCAGGTGGGCAGCAGTGAAGGAGGGCCACCCCAGGGCCAACTGGGGGTCCCACGGCAATGGGGCGTGGGCAGGGTTGGGCAGCCCCTGTCCCACCGCGTGGTGCAGGGCTGTGGCGAGGTTTCCGTGGGCCGCTGGCTCTTACATAAGCTCATTGTTTCCTGAGTCAAAAGAGGTTTTGTCTCCGCTCTGGAGATGTGACAGGAGGAGGAACAATTTGCCCCATTCATCTTTAACTCTGCTCTGGAGAGCGGTGTGGTGGCCTGCGCCGGCAGAGACGTTAAACCCAACCACTTCCCCGCCGTAAAATCTCCCGGGGAGCAGGTGTTGGAAATCGCCCCTTCCCCTCCTGATCTCCTCAAATCCAGCGCCACAGAAATCAAGGATAATCCAACAGCCTCTTCAAAATGAAAACGCTGAGCCCTGATTAATTCATTTAATAAGTGACTGATCTCCTCCTCCCCCAGCACCGCGGCCCAAGGAGCCATTTTGCTTCTTGCTCTCCTGGGCTGATGCCGGGGAGATGCCGGGGCTGCAGCAGAGGCACGAGGCTGGTACCCTGTGACCTCCTTGCCAGCCTGGCTATGTGCCTTGTCATGGCCTGGCCTCTGCAGTGGGGCTGAGAAGGGCAGTGCTCTGTGGGCTGTGGGACCAGTGGCCTCCATTGGACTCTGCGGGCTCACTGGCCTCACCCACACGGTGCCAGGGTCTGCTCCACCTCCCATCCAGCCCACGGAGCCCTGGCTCGAGGGGATTAAACAGGAGAACGAAATACTCCGTTTTCCAACCGAAAGATCAAACCGGTTAGAAGTGACATTGTTTTTGCAGTTCCATCTGCTTCAATTAGGGCACGGGGGTGGAGCAGGGGGGCTCCCAATTATCCTCATTAGAGGGGCTCCTCGTGCAGCCAAGCTCCAGCCGTGAGCAGGGAGCTCACCAGGCTCGTGCTGGTTGATAATGAATATATTCATGGCTGCACAGCCTGGCCTTGCTCGCCTGCTGCTGCCGGAGCCCTGCTCCTGACATGTGCTTTGGGCACTGCTGGGAGATGCGGAAAACCTCTCCAAGCTCAGGAGCTTGGCGGGTTTTACTGAAAGAGAGCGTGGCCAGCCTGGCCCCATCGCTGCTCAGCACCCTGCCATAGCAGTTCAGGAGCCTAAACCTGATTCTTGCACTCCAGATGGGAGCACTCCTGCTCCCTCTCGCCAGGTCCTGCTTTGCTGAGAGGTGTCCCAGCTCCTCTCAGGGCTGGCTGTGGGCTGGAGATACCCCAGCAAAGCTGCCCAGGGAGCAGCACTGTCCCCGTCTCTGTCCGTGTCCCTGTCCCTGTCCCATCTGCTCCAACCAAGAGAATGCAGCTCCCTCCCAAGCTCATCTGTTTTCAAGCTGGCTGAGGCCAGTCCCGCTCAGACCCAAGCACTCACCAGTCTGAATTTGTGGCCATTTCTCTGCTCACAATACTGAGATTAACCCCCACTTTGTGTGCAGAGCTTCTGGGAGAGCATAAAGCATAAAAATGTGAAAATAAGAAAATATCTGTAGCCCATGGGTTTACAAACCTCATTATTTACGTACGTCCATCCTTGGTATAAACTAAATTGTTCTTTTAGTAGGTGCTGGTCACTGATATTAAATTCCCATTTCATTTTCTTATCCCACCTGGCAGGTTCCTAGAGACACCTTCCTCTTTGTTTGCAATATTTTTTGCCGGTAGCAAACCCAGGGTTCATAAATGCAGCAGCGTCGGGCAGAAACCTGATGTGCAGCTGCTGTGTGTGCTCTGTGCAACACAAAAGAAAACCTGAGATGTAGAGAAATTGGGGCTGTCCAGACGTCACCCCCAGGATCCCACCTGATGTCAGCAGCCGGGGATGGGGGGCAGAGCTGGGGGGCTGTGGGGAGGCTGGATGTGGGTGGGCAAGGGCAGAGCAGGATGGTCAGGGAGGAGTGGGGGTGCTTAAGGCATAATAAGGATGCCCAGGGCAGGTTGGGGTTGTTCGAGGTAGGTTGGGAATGTCCAGGATAGATTGGGGCTGCTCAGGGCAGGTTGAAGATGTTCTCATCCCTGCAGGGGTGCCCAGAGGAGGTTGGGGATGCCCAGGATGCCCAGGTTTGGGGATGTGCAGGGCAGGTTTGGGGATGCCCAGGGCAAGTTGGGAATGCCCAGGGCATCTGCTTATTCTTCTCCCAGGTGATGTCTCTCCAGGTACCCTTGCCTGGCAGGGGTTTTGTCACATGGCAGGCCCCTGGCTCCACTGGTGCAGGCAGCGAGGGGGTTGCTGAGGAGCTGTGGGAGGTCCCTGCCCTCGGCCTGGTCGCGGTGCCGATTGGCCCTGTGGTGCAGCGCTGTTGCTGTGGCTGTGCCCGGGCTGATGGCAGGGCCCTGCCTGCAGCTCGTGCCTCCGCGCAAGGGAGTAATTCTCCTTAATCCTTCTGAGAGGCATCGCTGGATGAGACTGGAGCCTCCCTCTGGGAGCCCCATCTCCCCTGGCGCAGAGAACAGAGCTGGGGGAGGGACGGCCGCCATCCTGGGCAGGGAGGCCTCTGTGCCCCCAGCCACCTGCCCTCTGCTGCTGGGGCCAGAGCCAAGCCAGCAATGCTCCTGCACCCGTGCCAAGGGACAGCAAAACCCGTGGGGGCTCAGAGCACCAGACCAGTGCTCTGGGACAGGAGGGTGTGGGGGCAGGAGGTGGCAGTGCCCCCAAATTCCTGCCCCTCCAGATACAGCTGAGCCAGCAGCAGGAGTGCATGGGGCCATGGTCTGGGATGCAGCCACCCACTGCAGCCCCACCGCCACATCACGGGGAGAGGAGACCAGAGCTCCTCTTGAGGGCTTGGCTTGGAGGGTGCCCCTGGATAGTGCTGGCTGCTGAGCCCCTCCAGAGCCCCACATTCCCTGGCATGCAGTGTCCTGGCCCAGAGCAAGGACTTCTGCCAGGAGCCAGCCCTGTGGTGGGGAGGGTGACGCCTGCTGCTGGCCCAGAGCACCCGGCACATAAACACCACCCCGGGGATTAGGTCAGCTCTGGTCATCGCTCAGACGAATAAGTGGATCAGTGCAAGGGAAAGGAGGGGGAGGGAGCTCTGCTGAGCGGGGAGCTCCAGTGGGGACCTTCTAATTTAGGGGCTCGTGGGGCCAGGAGCCGCCTTGGCGCAGGCGCGAGGCAGGGCAGTGAGCACTGGCGCCCGTGGCAGGGCGGCTGGGGACACGCGGCGGCAACCCCGGCCGGCCCCACGGTCGGCTCCGATGCCCGAGTGTCCTCAAATCTGTTTATTTTAAGGGATACAAAGTCCTGGGCTGCCACAGGGTCACCGCAGCACTCGCCCAGCCTCGCAGTAAAGTTTCCTGCAG